CTGTCTTAACAATGAAGGATATGCTTCACATTTATAATTTGTTTTGCAGTTAGCTTCACATTTATAATGCTTGGTTATCACTCAATTTACACTAAAGGTTTAGACACTATGTCAACCTATTGTTGTAATGCTGTTAAAAAACTAAAGTTAGATAAATAAATTTAATTAGGATAAAACTAAAGTGAGGCTTGCTAGTTCACTTACACACCGTTCTAAAACTCGATGACACGCCTGCAACTAAAGATGATGATGAGTGCCGAAAATGGGATGATAGGTATCTGCAGTTATATTACCAAATGAAGCATTTCCCATGACATCAATCATGTCATGTCTCATACGTGAACCCTCACTCGCGTGCTGCTTTTCCATCGTCCTGGAGTCGTTGGGCCTCGTCATCGAGCCATTGAACGGGCCGGCACCGCTGCTCGCCATCGCCATGAATCGCCATCGCCAAGAGACCTACTACACGCTGCTTTTCATGAGGCGGAGGCTATACTAGCTAGGGACTAGGGCCTGGAAGTTGGAAGTTTCACCGAGGAGATGTCAGACAAGTTCGTAAAAGTGGCCACCGAAATCTGAGATTCGATCCTTCTTCTGGCTCCGGTGGCCGGCCAGGCACTGGCACACACACACAAAGAACACGATGTGTCATGGGGTCCAATCCGGTGGTCCATTGGATTGGTTCGGTGACGCTGAAACCAAGCGTATGTGCCACCAGCAAGTTGGCACAATAATTCCCCATTTTGCTAGTACATTTGGAGACCTTTCGCCACTGTCACTGTCGATTTGGTCATGAGTCGGGGTACAACGATCACTTCCTCCATGTCCGTCCGTCTGGACCGTCTCCTGGAAGAGCGGGTCGCCTGTGCAGAGCCGAAAAGATACTCGCTCAGTCCCTAGATATAGTCCCTCCGTCTCAAAATATCGGTCATTTTTTCTTTCCGAGAAATAACTTTGACAAAATATATATTAAAAATATTAATATTTATTGTACATAATTAGAATTATTGGAAAGATTTTTGAATCTAGTTTTTAATAAATTTATTTGGAAATACAAATGTTACACACACTTTCTACAGATCGAGTCAAACTTGTGGCACGACCCCGATCGTCGGGGTCAGGGTACTCTGCCGGTCTGGATGGCGTTTTCGTCGAGCCCCTTGTCGTGGATCCTATCTCGTAGTCGGTGGGTTTGTGCAAGCATCTAGTCAGACCGTATTTGGACGATGGGTATCGTACCCGTTGCCACCGTGGTGCGGTGTTGTCTCGTCGGTGCGGCATGACACAGGGATGGTGTCTGACCGGCCTCGGTCCTTACGGGGTCAGTGCGGCATGCATGCTCTTGTCAGAGCGGGCGCGCCTAGCTGAGCTCGACCTCCCCCATCCCTTCCGGGGGTCGTGACGGGGAGAGGTCGTGCGCCTTGCGAGTGCCACGTGACTAAGGCAGGTGGAAGGGGTCGGGGCTGACCCAACGGATCGTGAGGTCGAGATGCAGGTCGCCGGCTCGTCGTGGCGCTGGGAGCGGTTGCAAGGCGCTCGGGAAGGGGTCGCTAGGACAGTGACAAGCAGTGCTACGTTGTGGAGCATGCATATGCGTTCTTGTGCGCGGCCTCCGTGAGCGGGTCATGTCCGGCTGCTAGCGCGAGTCGGATCGGGTTGCTCGGGAACCTTAGCGATTTCAAGGCGAGGTGTGTGGGCACACCGTTCCGTAGCTCGCTCCACGGGTTGGTCGCGGTGTTATGGAGCTAAGGGTGCGCCTATACGAGTAAGTGGATGTGTCTAGGTAGAGCGGCTAGAGCTAGAGATAACGTTACTAACCGATGTGTCAGAAGCCGTTGCGGATCTAGTCGTCGTAACTCGGGGCACGTTGAGCCCCCGAGCATATGTTCGTGGTGGAGTTGATGCTCGAGGCGATGCGAGCTCCCGAGCGCTTGCTTGCACTGGAGTTGTCGTGGTCCCTGGGCCACAAGCTAACGAGGTCGCTTCTCCACCGCTCCGAGCAGTCATAGCTGGCGAGGATTGACCCCTTGGGCCGCCTTGGGCCGTTCCTTGCCGGCTCAATATCCTCGATGGGCCCACGAGCCCCCGAGGATGGCCTCTTCAAGTTCGGCTTTTGTAGCTTCCGGCTGGGAGGGCTCGTGCGTACTGGTGCCTGAGTCCTCCTGGCATGACGACGTCGATGTCGCAGCGTCTCTCGGCTCCGTGAGCGGTTGCCGCTCCCAACATGGTGTTGTTGTGACCTATTGCTGCGGGGGCTAGCCTCAAACGCAGCACGGTTCGATCCGCTCATCGCGGCGTGTGGCGCGCTAGGGAGCCCACTTCCTCGGATGCATGCGCCTCCGTGCAACAGGTGGCAGCCCACGAAGTCATGTCGTGCGGCTTGCCCGCAATGTAGGATTGGATCCTGGTCCCGGGCTTGATCTTGTATGGCCCGATGCTGGTTAGCCACTTGACCGCTAACAACGACGCCGCGTGGTGGCGGGTAGTTTCATCGTTCATGAAACGTCCTGGTTCATTGCGTTTCGCTGGCGATGACGCTGCCAAGGCGTGATTCTATCGTAGGGTCCAGTTTTGCCACGCGGCGAGCCTAGGACAGGGTATGAGCGGATGACGGGCGTTGCCCCATTAGATCGGATGATCTCGTGGTTCCCTAAAAGGATGTGGCCTCCGCGGGCCATTCCTTGGGTGAGATCGCCGTGAGCCATGGCCGTCTGGCTTTCCAGGTGGAAGTCTTGACTATGGCCAATAATGAGAGAGGGCACTAGGCCCCTCATGCGGGTGCACTCCGGGATGCAGCCCCCGAGGATAGTTCCGAGAGTGTGTCCACCGTGGACCGTGGGATCCAGACCTACGGGACGGAGGTCCGGGTCGCAACTGAGGGCAGACGCGGCGTCGGACCTTTGGTGTGGTTAACCGCGTGGTTTCCCAAAAGGATGTGGCCGGTTGGGGACATTCCCTGGGTCGAGTTCGTTGCGAGTCATGGGCCTCCAGTTTCCTGAACGGGAGGCCTGGCCACGGCCGGTGGTGTGCGAGGGTACTGGCCCCTCTGGGTAGGTGAACTCTAGGATGCTGCCACCGGAGGCAGTTCTGAGAGTGTGTCCGCAGCGGGCTACATGTCCCGGATCTCTATGGCAGAGGTTTGGGTCATAGCAGCGGGCGGTCGTGGGTGCTGGCCCTTTGATGCTGGTGAACTCATAGTTTTTGCGGTGGATGTGGCCGCCATGGGCCCTTCCACTAGCGAGTCCACCGGCAGTGCGAGCAGCCATCGCTTCCTTCTCAATAAACGAGTGTGCGACTGTCTCCTACCTGGCGTGCCAACTGTCGATGTTTTGTAAACTATACTAGTAAACTTATATGATTGCCGCACTGCTCTAAAAAGACGATGGTAGCATCCAATAGACACGAGGATTTATACTAGTTCAGGCCGGAGCCCTACGTCCAGTCTCAGAAATGATCGAGTGTGTGTTCCTCACTTAAATGCTCTAAAGTTCTTACAATGGGGGTGCAAGAAAGGTGGAAGAGATGGAAGGACCTATGCTAGACGAAGGGCTGCCCGAAGAGAAGCTCTAGGAGCCCTACTACAATGGTGAATAAGTGGAATGGTAGAGGATGTGAACCGTGTTGCCCTGGCGGTCCTTATATAGAGTTCGGGGCCAGGGCTTGTACAAAGAGGGGGTTCTCTCAACCGAAGGGTCGAGAGCTTGAGGGAGGTCCTAGCTAACTTGGCTTGCAAGCTACGCTGTGTTCTGGTGCACGTCCGGACACGGCAATCATCATGGTCTTCTAGCCACGCTACGGCAGGGTGTGACGTGGCGGCACTGTAGCCTTGACGGTGGTTCGTTAGCCATCCCGTGCAACGCGGTGTCCGTCGTGGCCTTCGTCATCGTCTCCTGGTTCCCAAGGGCGTCGTACCTAAAGTAGGTAGCTGCCCTGGATCATCGATTGCTTGGTCGCTTTGTGGGGCCGAGGGCCATGACCCCGATCGTCGAGGTTGGGGCACTCTGCCGGTCTAGATGGCCTTTTCGTCGAGCCCCTTGTCGTGAATCCCATCCCGTAGTGGGTGGGTTCGTGCCAGCGTCTAGTCGATCCGTATTTGGACGGTGGGTATCGTACCCGTTGCCACCGTGGCGGTGTTTGTCTCGTCGGTGCGGCATGGCACAGAGATGGTGTCTGACCGGACCGAGGTGATTGTTTTCCCCTCGCTCCTTACGGGGTCAGTGCGGCATGCTTGCTCTTGTCAGAGCGGGTGCGCCTAGCTGCGCTCGACCTCCCCCCATCCCTTCCGGGGGTCACGACGGGGAGAGGTCGTGCGCCTTGCGTGTGCCGCGTGACTAAGGCGAGTGGAAGGGGTCGGGGCTGACCCCATCTTGGCTCTTGCTTGGCCTCGGTTATTTGGACCCTTGCTGACTGTTGCGTTGCATGCCACGTGGTCTGCTAACTAATCGGTGCCTTGAGACACTTGGGGTTATAACTCCGACATAAATATTGCACGTATTTTTAATAAATCGAGTCAAACTCTCGGCAGGGAACCATGGCGGCAATTAATTGGAGAGAGAGGGAGTACGACACAATAGAGCTGCGGATATGGGCTGTTGGCCGTGTATTCTGGTCGGAAGGTGATGGTGAGCCCAATACGGGATGCCCTCTTCACCCTGGGCCAGGCCTTATCACCTTTGCCCACTTGGATGACTTGACTAACCCGATCCGGCCTGACCCGGCCTACTCAACACTCCCGAATCTCCGGGTATGCAAGCGTGTATGCAAGCGTGCGGCGTGCCTGGCTTCCTGCTGTGCTACGCCTACTGTTACCACAGAAGCGCGGGCCCACCTGATCAGCTAGCCACTGTACGCGCGAGCCGCGAACCAGACCCGTAACCCCGTCCAAATCCTGAAATCCTTGGCCTCGTCATCCGCAGCCCCCACTACCAGTGTCCCCCGCCGCCGCCTCTGCCTACCCCCACCACCACCACCATCTCCGGCGGTCCGCGTAGCCCGCGCAGATGGCGACGGCGGCCACGGCGTCCGCGACGGCGGCGACCCGCTTCACGCTCCTAGCGTGCGCGGGCCTCCGCAGCCGCATCAGCCGCCGCCCCACCGCCGTGCGGTTCCAGCGCCAGCGGGGGCTCACCACCACCGCGCTCCTAAAGACCGCCGACCTCCTACCCAAGGCGCAGGGCCAGCCCGAGACGCTTGACTACCGCGTGTTCCTCGTCGACGGCGGGGGCCGGAAGGTGTCGCCGTGGCACGACGTCCCGCTGCGCGCCGGGGACGGGGTGTTCCACTTCGTCGTCGAGATCCCCAAGGAGAGCAGCGCCAAGATGGAGGTCGCCACCGACGAGGCCTTCACGCCCATCAAGCAGGACACCAAGAAGGGCAACCTTCGATACTACCCGTAAGGACTATCAAACCAGGAAATTTGTTGTAAAAAAAAAAACAGGAAAATTGGATAAGAAATGTGCGGTTCTAGACTTGTTCCTTTTTTCTGTTTATTAGAAAGGTATCGTATCTTCCATTTGGGCGTGAATTGAGTCATGATTGTAGGCCAACTAACTGATTCCACTGAATGGTGTCGTATAGTTGAAAACATGGCATTTTTAAGGTTTTCGCTCCCTTTATCCCATCTGATGGATTCTGAACGGGGTATATTATAGGTCAGTACTGTTTGTAGCTCAGGTTAAGGCTGCTTTTGTTGGGGTCTGTCTGTTTTGTCTGTTGGCTTGTGCTGGGCCGGTTTGGTTCCTAGAGGTTGTTTTGGTGCGCGTGGTGGCCTTGACTCTGCTGTAAGCTGGTAACCCCAGCCGTTTTCTTTGCCTTTTCGTTTTTGAACTTTGTAAACACTTCGCTTTCTATAAAAGCTGGGTTTACCTCTGTCAAAACAAAATTTTGCTGTTTAGAGCCTATGTGTGTTGTGGTGGATTGGTGTGCATCAAAACAAGCCCTAAGGACGATGGTAGTTGTAATCATGCTAGAAACTTATGATTCGTTATGATACATTGATGAAATGAACATGGGGAAGTTGTTCTCAACTAAGACAGCCTAACGCCGTTCTGTTATGCTTTGACTTGATCCCTTAATCTGTGAAACTTACATACTTGTTTGCAGTGCAATTGAGTTTACACTGTTATTGGCCTCACGACACATTTTTGCACAGCTTTCTTTGACATTACTTGTTGCGTCAGGTACAACATTAATTGGAACTATGGGTTACTTCCTCAAACATGGGAGGACCCGACTTCTGCAAATTCTGATGTTGAAGGAGCATTTGGGGATAATGATCCTGGTAATGAACATTTTTATCTGTTACCTTTGACAAACATGGTTTTCATATTACCTTCACTTTCAATAAATCTTTCTTTTCTGTGGTTTTCTTTTCCAGTTGATGTTGTTGAGATAGGTGAAAGGCATGCCAATATCGGGGATGTTCTTAAGGTTAAACCATTGGCAGCTTTAGCAATGATTGATGAGGGGGAGCTTGACTGGAAAATTGTGGCCATTTCTTTGGATGACCCGAAAGCATCTCTTGTGAATGACGTGGATGATGTTGAGAAGCATTTTCCAGTATGACTGTGGTTCCTGTCCTCTTTTACGCTTGTCCTTGTTCTCCTTCAATATATATTTGCTGATCTCCCTGGTGGGAAGTGAGGCATGCCTCAATGTTATGTCACTGTTATTGCTTCTTTTTTTTCTTGAGAAAAAAAGTTTCATTGTTGTTACTAAGCATTTCTTTAAATTTCATGTCAGTTGAAGATTTCAAAAGCAAATAATGTAGAGCATACTTGTGTTTCCGTTCATGGTACTTGGATGCCTTCATATTATGCTGTTACTCACTACTGCTTTCTGTTTTTAGTTTTTGGGCTTCAGCTGAAGAATCTGAAAGTAATAATTGGTAGCGGACTTACTTTGCATTCATGTCACTGGAAAAGAGATAAATGCTACCCCCTATAATGATCAGACGCTAATGAGCTTGTCCCTGTTTTTCTGCGTTGTTGTGAGGCTTATATGTGTTGAGTTCAATGACAGTCCGCACTGCAATGCTGCATTTGCAGTCCATGTCCAGTTTCTCTTAGATTTGTTTTGACCATTTTGTAATATCTATTCAGGGGACACTGACTGCCATCAGAGACTGGTTCAGAGACTACAAGATACCTGATGGAAAGCCTGCCAACAGATTTGGTCTCGGCAACAAGCCCGCAAGCAAGGTAAGCCTGAACGCAACTTCTTCTGTTAGCCTGAAGCACAGAGGTTGTTCTTGCAGTAATAATAATATGGTATCCGTGTTTGTCTGAACTAGGAATATGCCCTGAAGGTCATTGAAGAGACCAACGAATCATGGGAGAAATTGGTAAAGAGGAATATTCCCGCTGGAGAGCTCTCGTTAGCCTAATCTTGGCCCATGGGAAGCCACCACATTCTTTGAACTGCTTTCATAAGCATATCGTTTTGTATGCTGTCACCATGCTTCTTCGTTTGCATTCCAAGCCTTTTTACGAACTGTTTAACAAAAATAATCTTGTCGGAAGAATAATGATTCTGGTGCGAGCTTATCAGAAGGGCAAGGAATGTTTCTTAAGTAATGGTCATGTTTTCCAAACACAGAAACGTGTAATTTATGAAGTTGGAACACTATTGAACTGAGCAAAAGCAGTTTGAGGTCGTTAAGCTAGTCTTACCACACCGTGCCTTGTGTTGGATTGTTACACCTACAAGTCAGAATACAGATGTAACATTGCGTCTACAGAAGTTACTTAAAACCCTTCAATTCTAAGATCGGCTTTGGTGCTCAAGAATTTCACATGAACCTAGGGAAATTTTCATGCCCAAAACAGGTCTAAACCGTGGAAATTAACCACTTTGAGCCTAAAGTAGTTGCCGCTCTGTGCGAGGTTTGGGGAAGGGTGCCAGTGGCAAGCCTTACCCTCGCCTGTGCAATACGAGGAGACCACGACTCGAACCTGGGACCTTCCGGTCACAGGCGGTAAGACTCTACCGCTTGCACCAGGCCCGCCCTTCTAGACCCGAACATTGTTCATGAGCAAAATCAGTATCAGTGATTGAACAAAGCCAAAGGAGTATATTATGTTTTGCACCCATTGAGAACCCTCAAACCTGATTATGACATGCCGAAATTAACAACAAAGCAAAATACTACACTAGGCTAAAATATGCACGGTGATCGATACAGTTATCATATTATGTTTTACGCCCTATGGCCCTAATCATGGATAGCCTAATCAGCAGTGAACTGCTGACCACATATCTTTCAGTCGACTAAAAATCGAGCTGTCGAAGATCACAAGTCACAACCTACAAGGGAATGAGAAGTGCAGGTCGAATCAGGTGGATGCCGCAAGGAAACTTGATGATGACAATGTGATTCGCTGATTCTACAGGCCGATTGGCTCAAGCAACACAAATATCACAGAGTAAACCCTAATCCATGAGAGATTTACATGACAGTAGGGACTATGTGGATTCCATTACTCCTAAGAGCCATGAGCACCAAAACTACAGAGTGAGCAAATGCACACGAAACAGATGGAAGTTTATATTTCGACCTACATGGCTTGAACCACTTCCAGACAATACTACACTGTTGCACATATCGGTTGAGCTAACTTCCAACAAATATGTTGGTCTGGTTTTACAGAATGTGCACATTTAGGAATTACATGTGAAAGTGAAATTGTACCAACTTACAGAATCCATCTGAAAAGGGTTGCTTCTTTAAAATCCCTCTCAAAATGCTGTTCCCACTCAAAATTATCGAGTCCTAGATCTAAATCAGAAACTAAGAGTGCATGAAAATTAAGATGTCACCAGAATCAGCGTAGATTCACTCAATAGGAACACAGTAAATAGCTAAATTATATAGGCCTAAACAAATTGAAATGAAGCTAACTTAGTTGCCTGAAGTTCAGCTCTTTGCAATCTAGCTGAATAAAACATTACTAGTTTAGTAACAAACTAGAACTAGCAATCCATTCCCACTGCAAGTTTCCAGTATGTCATGAACTGTGTTAAGGAACACTTGCCGTGTTATTTTGCAAACAGGAGTTGGATAATGCAACAGATTTATAATTTTGACAAAATAGTCCAACAATCAGGCAGAATGTTCGATTTCCATCTGCCTCTAAACAATTTCTACTATAATTGACCCAACACTGCATTACAGAATGAGCAACAAGTTTAACATATTGACCTAATATATTAGGGAAGGAGATTTCCTACATACTATATGCAACATGTCATTCATACCTGAATTATGTCCCTAGGCCCTTGATGGTATCATTGAGCAAGCCACAAATTTCCTTAGCCAGATCATGCCACCGCATTTGTGTTTTCATCTCTCCATCAAACTGCTTCCTCCACCTGGTTTCAATCAATCTACCATTCTTTTTCCATAGTAGTGACAGCCCCTTCTCCAGTGACAACCCCGCCAATTCATTCATTTTCCAGTACTCACGAAGCACCTCGGTGACCACTGCCAGCTTGGTTGCTGCATCTCGGGCCTCAAGCACCTCGGTTACCACTGGCGTCTTGGTTGCTGCATCTCGGGCGTCTCGAGCCACAGTGTTGACAGAGCCCCACGCTTTGACACTGAGATCATGCAAGAGGCGGTCGTGCGAAGTGGCGGATTCCCCCGGCGCCGAGTGCAGGAACTTGCTCCTGAAGCGCGTCAGCTTGTAGGGCACATTGGCTTCGTTGATGTGCGGGGAGACGGAGTCCCTGATGGAGTCGAACAGCGCGCCCGCGTCGATGGGGAGCGGGGATCGCCCGGTGCGCTCGCGGAAGAAGGCGGCTGCGGCGAGGAGCGTGACCTCGTCGGCGTCGCTCCATCTCTTGGGATAGTTAGGGGCGACGCCATGGCATCCGTCGCCCGAGGGTTGGAGTCCCTGAACGTCGCCGCGGCCTAAGTCGACAGCGATGCCCACGGATTCGAGACTCTGGACATCTTCATGCCCTCCGTCGACGTCCGACCAGAGTGTGGCCGCCGCAGCGAGCGCGACCACGGTGCTCTCTGCGGATATGCGGAGCCTGCGGGAGGGAGAGCCGCATGGGGTAGAGTTTGGGTCCTGGTGGCCGTCGCCCATGCCGAGCAGAGGGCTGAGCGAGCGCTTCTTCGAACTGGGAGGGGAAGGAGGCGTGGGTGCCGCGTTGGCGTCCATGGAGAATGGAGATGACCACTCGGACGGCATCGGCGCGTCGATGCGTGGCGAGAGTGCGGGCAAGGGCGCGCGCTGTGTGGTCAGGCGTTGCTCGTCGGGGCAAGGAAGCGTAGGCGCCGCGTCGGCGTCCATGGACGATACTGATGACCGCTCGGACGCCGACGGCGCGTCGAGGCGTGGCGAGAGTGCGGGCATGGGCGCGCGCTCTGTGATCAGCCGTCGCTCGGGGCAAGGAGCCGTGGGCGTCGCGTCGGCGTGCATGGAGGATTCGGATGACCGCTCGGACAGCGACGACGCGTCGAGGCGTGGCGAGAGTGCGGGCATGGGCGCGCCTTCTGTGATGAGGCGTCGCTTGTCGTGGGAAGGAAGCGTGGCGCCCCGCCGGCGTCGATGGAGGATGCAGATGACCGCTCGTACAGCATCGCCGCGTCGAGGCATGGCGAGGGTGCGGGCATGGGCGCGCGCTCTGTGATCAAGCGTCGCTCGTCGCTGTAGCTCTCGTCAGCTTCTTGGCCGCCCGAGTCGTCCTCCGGAAGGGGCACGACGTCGAGGGCACCCCACACTCTGGTGGACAGGTCATGCACGCGGCGGTCGTGCGTGGCGGTGGAACTCGCCAGCGCACCGTACAAGAACTTGCTCTCGAAGCACATCAGCTTGTCGTCCGCCATGGCCTCGTCGATGTGCGGGGAGACGGAATCCTTGATGGAGTCGAACAGCGCGCCCGCGTCCAGGCGGAGCGGGGGTCGTCCGGTGCGCTCGCGGAAGGCGGCGGCGGCGGCGGCGAGGAGCTTGACCTCGTCCACATCGCTCCAGAGACTCTGGGCGGCGCCATGGTCTACGTCGAGGGCGACGCGCACAGCTCCGAGCCTTTCGAGGTCGCCGTCGTCTCCGTCGAGGCGGACGCTGGCGTCGGACCCACGCGAGCCCTTCGCCGCGTTGAGGTCGAGCACTAGTCCGGCAGTCTCCGCGGACTCGCGGAGCGTGCGCTTGAGCTCGCTCCTGCTTGAAGGGGGCCCGAGGTGACTAGAGTTGAGGCCCCGTTGGTTGCCGCCACCCAAGCGGGGCTGGGGACCGGACGAGGGCTTCTTCCATCTGCGCCTGGGATAGAAGAGGGGCGTGTGCGCCGGGTCGGTAGCCACGGTGGATGCCGACGGCTGTTCGGAGGGCATCGGTCCGGCGTGGTGCGTGGGCGTGGGCGGCCGGATACTCCGATGGGCGATGGGGGGTGGTAGGGTAGCTGTGGCTCGTGCTTATAAAAAAAAAACAGCATACATGTGTTTTAGAAGAAGAAAAAACCCATGAATTTTTTTAGCAAAAAAAAACATACGGCGAGCGCACGCGGCAGCGCAGCACCAGCAGTGCGCTTTCTGCGCCTCGACTGCCCCCTTCGCGCATGGAGAATCGCGCCCGGCCAGGGCCCCCACGACGCGACGACCCATGACGAACGGGCAGACAATGGAATCAACCGCTCTGTGATTTGTCCTTCCAATGAAAAAAAATTTATTTTCTATGATATGTGATCTGTGATCTTGTGATTATCTGAAGGTAGAAAAAGGCCAAAGGTAGAAAAAGGATGGAGGCTGTTGGATCTTAATCTTATGGTGCAAAAAGAATTTATGTGTTGGAATTGCATAAAACACATGGTTGTGCAGTAGAAAAAAAGGGTGGGTGAATGGTGAAATGTTTACTCTGCTTTGCACCAGTGCCCTTCTCATTTCGCTAAAATTTGACTTGTTCCTGCTTATGCTGATTTGTTATTAGAGAAAAAACAGTGTTCGCTCGTTGAAAAGTACGTTGAAGAAGTACCGCAGAACAAGGTGACTATTATTTCTACTTTTCACGATCTCCTGTTCCACCGGAGCGTAGGAATGTTCGGTTTTAAAAAGGGGAGGTATTGTTGGTCGCGTATCGTGTGAGAAGCTAGGGCCCAAGGTTTTGTACTCGAGGGTTCTCAACTTCCACAAGATTTCTAAGACCAACATCATCATATTTTCTCTCTCCTTTCACTTAAAATTCACTATAAGGGGTTGAGAAAACCATATTTATGATTTTAGGGAAGTGTTGCTAAAAAAACGAGACATCCATCCTATTTTCTCTCTTACTCCTCTCTCTCTCTCTCTTCCTCTCTTCGCGTAGCAACCTACGTGGCAGAGCCGGAGCGGACTAGCTCGCGCGCGGCCTCACGTGGCGGCCAACTCCCGCACGGCCTCGGAATGGTGGCAAGCTCACCCATGGCCCCAGCGGCCAGCGTGGCACGCCCACATGGACCCAGCGGCCTCGGTGGACGGCATAGCGATGGCACGCCCATGCCTCAACGACGTGGGCTTGAGACATTCAGTGAGAGATGAAGAGACAAAGGGGATTGAGAGAAAAACTAGTGTTGGATACCCTTTGTTTGAGGGAGAGGGAAGAGATTTTGAGGAATTGTGAAAAAAAAACTTAGAGAAAAGGGGTTGGAAAGGAGATCTGTTGGAGCATGTTCTTTAGCCTCAATCCCCTTTATTGTCCTTTATAATAAAGGAGATTGGTTTTCTCAATCTGGTGAAATTGCTCTAAGCATGTGTTTAATTTGAAGTTGAAGGGGTATGGTATTTGGTTTGGGGGCTAAGAGTGTTGGTACAAGGTAATATATCCTTAATATCCAGGTTCATCCCATTCCTCTGAAACAAAGAAATTGATCGAACCTACTCTCTCTTCAGGAGTGCATGACCAGGGTAGATGACGTGGCTAGAGCGTGGGAGTTGGGGGCGCGTTAAGTGCGAGCAGAGCTCTAGGGTGCAACGAGTGGCGCAACACAGTCCAAGTGGGGTGCATCGGCGCAAGCGCAGTGGCGGTGGGCTAGGGCAAGCATGCAACAGCTGTGATTAGTTGCAGTGAGGAGAGAAAAGCCAAGGGAAGAAGGGAGGAGAAAGAGGATAACATGTGGGGCCATGTATCAAGGTCCTCAACCCATATTCATTTGTCTTCAAACCAAACAGAAAACCTAGGACAATCCTATCCCTAACCAAAAATGAAATATGATCAACCCAAAAAAGAAAGATGGAATCAATTTATCTAACTTGGTTCTCATCCAAACACGCTAATTGTCATCGGACTTGGGGGGAAGGTTATTGGTGCCTTTGAGGTACGGTGGGTGAATGTAGTTCTCTCATAAAAAAATGTAGGGAGGGGACAAAAACAACAAAACCGCGATGACACATCTGATTGTAAGGGAGAAATGCATCTAGCGATGTGGATCTGATCGACGTGATATTGAAGGAAAATTGACTTGCTGTTTCTTTTTTTAAGTATTGCTAGGCTTTTTGTGCCACCTATGAAAATGTCCCTACTCTTGACAGTCGGGCCTCAAATTGGATAGAAATAAGGAAGATGGAAACACACAGTAGATAGTACGCAAAGGAGTAGTAGATCAATACTTCAATGTTGCATAGCCTGAACAACTTCCAGACAGCATAAATAAATGCTAGTATATCACTGCACAGATTGAGCTAAATTCCAGAATCTGGTCTCAGATACTACTGCAGTGTCTGAAATAAATGATATACTGAGCTTAAATTCCACAATCCATCTGAAATAACAGTTGCCTTTCACATCAAAATTCCCTTCCACGGCACTGTTCCCTCGACACCATCATTCAGGAATCAGGATCGGCATGGCAAACCGACAATTTCTGGATTTCCACAAGGATGAGGATCTGAACAAAGAAACCATAGCCTTGATGAAGGTAAACAAACTGAAAACAAGCAGTCTGTTCGGGAGGTCGTATCGTATCATGGATTATTTACTGCTAGCTGGTTTGGTGTGAGAGAAAAACACTGTTCCCGGCTGAAAATTTACTATCATTTATGAGCAAGCGAACAGGCTAAAGATGGTTAGGTTGGCCGAAGCTTAGCCCTTTTACAGGCAAGCTGAATAGAACATCACTAATTCACTAAACAAGCTAGAATAAGCAGAGCATTCTCGCCGTCCTGTTTTGTTACAGAAGTCAGACAGTGCAACTGTGTTACAAGTTTTGAGAAAATGTTACAACAAATAGGGAATTTCAGTTTACAGCTTCCTCTGAAGAACTTCTGCTGTAATTGACCCAACACTTAATCTGAGATGAGCAACAGGTTTAAACCAATCACACCAACAAACAAGTAAACTAGAGAAGGAAGTCTCCTACAAACCAGAGGCAAGCCGAGCTAAGGGCCGAGGCCTTTGATGGCATCAGTGAGCAAGCCGCAGACTTCCTTAGCCAGATCATGCCGCCGCATCTGAGATTGCATCTCTTGATCAAGCTGCTGCCTCCATTTGGTTTCAATAAGTCTGCCCTCTTTTTTGCCCAGTAGTGACAGGCCCTTCTCAAGGGACACCCCTGCCATGGCTCGCTCATTCGTTTTCCAGTACTCGCCGAGCACCTCGGTGACCACCGGCATCATGGCTGCTGCATCCGGGACAGCACGTCGCTCGCCGACGTCCGAGTCGTCCTCGGAAGAGGGCACGACGCCGACACCCCATAGGACGGAGCACAGGTCCCGCAGGCGACGGTCGCGCGGGCCGGCGGAGTGGTGGAACTTGCTCTTCAGGCGCTTAATCTTGTAGTACACCATGAACTGGTCGATGCGCGGGGAGATGGAGTCCCTAATGGACTCGAACAGCTCGGCCATGTCCGGGAGGCGCGGGGCTCGGCCGTTGCGCTCGCGGAAGGCAACGGCTGCGGTGAGGAGCGTGAACTCGTCGTCGTCGCTCCAGTGTTTCTGGGCGGCGCCGCGGCCTCCACCGACGCGGGCGGCCGCGGCTCCGAGCATCCGGATGGCCCCGTCGCCTCCTTCAGCGCGGGCGCGCGGGCGTCTGCGCCTCTCGACGGCGCCGTCGCCCGCGTCGGAGCGGACGCCGGTCGCGGACGCGCGCGCGGCGGCCGTGGCGAGCGCGAGTGCGGCGGACTCCGCAGATGTGCGGCGCCTGCGCTTAAGCTCGCTACCGCGGGCGGGGGAACAGCGGGGGCTAGGGTTTGGGCTCGAGTTGCCGTCGCCCGTGCGGGACAGCCGCTTCTTCGATCTGAGAGGGAAGGACGCCGCGGGCGCTGCGTCGGCGTCCATGGCGGATTCGGACGGGCGTCCGGATGACATCGTCGCGGCACGACGTGCGGGGGACGCGGGGCGCGGCGTGCGGCGTGGGCGGCGTGGCGTGGCGTGGCGAGGGCGTGCGCTCTATGGGGCGTGGACTCTGGCGATTGGGGTGGGGAAGTCGCCGGTAATCGATGCCACCGCGTGTCTATTGCCGCTGCGCCGGCTAGTTGCATTCCGTTTCCGTGATGTGCCCGCTTGCTTTGTTCGGCATTCCGTCTTCACAAATCAGTGTCTCGATTCTCGAACGTCAAGTGCTGAACTGTGCGCCATTTTATAACAAAACAAAACAAGCAAAAGCAGGCAATAAAACGATCAACATGAAATTCTTTTTTTTTGCTAGATTATTAAGAAATACTCCGTAATAAAGTTATCTGGTCGTTTGTATCAGCAGCTGAGAATGCACAGAGCCGTCGTTGGTAATTACAGCTTCCACCACGGATACAGCTTACCCCATATTCGGCTTTTTTTCTTTTTTTTTGAAATTAAATTGTTTTTCTCTCCATGAACAATTCAAATTTGGAGCGTGTTTTCACCGGTTCCAAAAATTTCGCACCAACGAACGGGGCCTCTGAAAACCAAAACGTTGGCATGGCAGCTAAGACCAAAAACAAGCCCGATTTGCCTGAGCTTTACTAAAAAACGCATCATTACGGCTTAGCTGAATTGCCCAATATGTTCCAACAATAATACGATGCGTGTTTTCATCTTATTAATCTAGAGAGTGTTCGGCTGGCTGGTTAATAAGCCAAAATATTGTTCCGGATGAATTGTTGTGAGAGAAAAATACTGTTCTGGCTGAAAGACACTGTTCATGTGAATAGTGCCCACGTGAGTGGGCTGGCCAGCCAGCCAGCCGAACACTCCCCTAGTCACCAAATACATGGGAAAAAAGAATATGGCAGCGTAAGATGATATCAACATGTAACAACGTCTAGGTGAATCCAGCAAAAAGAGATTGTTGACAATTATTTTGATCTAGGCAGTAAAATTGGATATGCCACAAGGTTGCCTCGTTCACTTGAGGGCTTGATTTCTCGGCTGGCTCGATCACAAGATGCTCTTCAAGCCCCGACACTAGAGTTGCTCTTCATCAAGAGCCTCTTACAAACAATCAACCTCAGGAGCTCCGGTCCTCAACAATCTCCAATGAGTGCTCGACAGAGTCTGCTGCCTCAAGTTGTCTAGGTGGTGGCAACTGCCAAGAATAGTAAGAATCCCATAGCCTCAGTGTCACTATATGCTAACTCTCAAAGTAAATGCACTAGATCATACGTCTCCAATCTCTCAAGGACGCAATCTCAACTAAGAAAACGTGATTGGAGGGTTTTCTTGAGCTATAGTTAGTGTGTATTTGTTAGGAGTGCCAAGAGAGGGTCTAAGACTTGACACACACTCTATTTATAAACCACATTAGGAACTATCCATTATACCCTTTCAATGGGTCGAGCACATCCTCACTGGAAAGCTCCGATGAGAGGCACTGGAGTTTTGCATCCCAGAGCCCCCAACGACTAGTTTAAACTTGCCATTGCATAGCCATTACTCCAGTTTAGCTTCTTTGTTGGAATCAAGGAAATCTAGTGCCCACACAGATACTTTTGTGTCCGAAAAACAATATAGACGATTTACTACGGCGAAGCTTCTAGTGCTTCACAACTTAAGAAATCTGACGGTTCAAAATCCTGTGCAGTACTGTTTCAGGGGCACCGAAACCTTTCGGTGGTCCTCACTGGAGCTTCCCGTGACTCACTATGAAACCTCCCGCGCACTGCCTTCGAGTCGGTTGCTGCCACGTGTGAGGGACTATTCTTTGGCGCCCTTTTCTCTGATGGCACCGAAACAATAGGTATACCTATTAGCATTTATTGAAATTGCGAACCCTATACTCCGATGCCTAGAACCTTAGGAGGCGGAGTTTCACGAGACGAAGCCTTACACCACGAATACGATGATCGGAACTGAACGGTCAGGGAAGCATAAGCTTCGGTGGCTATCCTCTGATAGGCACCGGACTTTTTTTGGTAGGTATAAAATCACTCCACCAAGCCTCTCTCTCTAACCTTTTTCAAAAGCACTAACTTCAAATAAACTCCTACATGAATAACAACATCTTTAGTACTAAGCTAGCAATTTTAAATGTTTCTCAAAGGTTTGCACTTACTTCCTCACTGCGTCACTAGATCTAACACATATACATTATTAGTCCTCACGTAGTGGCAACTTCTCTAATCACCTATGAAATGAAACATAAACCTCTATCATATACCTTTGCCTTGAGCTCTTCTCCATCCATCCATGCTATCGGTGACACCCATGTTTTGCTCAAAAGCATCCTTGTGGTCCTTACCTTGTAACCTTCATCCCTCACATGAATTCTTAGTCCACAAGTGTTGTTATTAATTATCAAAACCCAAATAGGGGACTATATGCTTTCACATGCAACACACATGTCTTCCTACCTCATTGGACGAACATGCAGGCAGAGGTAGAGATGTGTGATTTAGATGCACTCCATCTGTTTCATTGTCAACTCGCAGACAATACACATGATAGGCATGTTGGAATCAATATAGCGAAGATGACCATAGGGGAGATCAGATGGGAGGACATCCAAAGAGGAGAAGAGGACCATTGATGCCTGACATGTTGTTTTGGTGTGTGGTCGACATAGTCGTGACGATGGTTTTGTGGCGGACGTAGTTACTTGACGGTGGCTTCACATTTGTGTTCAGAGTATACCACGGTCGAGATGGAAAGAAACAAAAGGAAAGAACAAATTGTGGGTGATTAGATGCAGTTTTGCTTGTTTTCTGTAAGGCGGTTAGTCGCAGGAAAGATGATATGAGGTGATCGTAGGTTTCCTATTTTGTGAAACAGGGAACCGATGCCCATATCAACATTATTCACGAAATGCCTCACCATGTTCATGTAGGCATGTCCTTTATGCTCATTTTTTATTGGAACTTTGCAGGAGCACTACATATCATTTTTAAGAAGAAGAGTAAGCAAATTCAGCACATTGTGATACTTTACATTAACTAACATAGTATCCAAGATCCTGATTAGCTAAAGGCATGGATGCAAGGCAGCCCACAAGCAACTCTCCCGAGAGCCATTTCTTATCACATATTAAAAACTTACATCGGTTTGTTAAGTTCATCTTTAAAGATTCTTATGTTTTCTCTCATTCAAAATGTTCTAAGATGTATACTAGCTTCACCACAGTTGTTTCCTTTGTCTTGCGTTGTGGCTCTGCAAGAAAGCCAAACACCAATCTCTATTTGTTTCGCTGAAATTTAGCTTATGCTGATTTGTTTTGAGAGAAAAACTATTGTTCGTTCGCTGAAAAGTATCGTCGAAGTAGTGCTGAAAATAGGGCCAAGGAGCATAATCTCCTAACTAGCCTAGATTTTGAGATGCATACAAATCTCATTCGCCAAACGGGACTGAATGCAAAGGTGCACTGTTCTTTCTGGCTCGTGATCGCACAACAAAGCACACATCAGAATGCACCGCCAGACCTGACCATGAGCCTATTAGGTGTGAGAATTTAGTTGTATATAGGTTTAGTTGTAGATAGATAGATCTTTTTTAAAAGGTTATAGATAGATAGAAGAGATAAAGATGGTAGAGATGGAGACGTCTATCAGGATTGGCCAGTCCAACCCGAACCCAAGCCAGGTTCAAATCAAAATCGGCCCATGCCACTTGCTTCTCGTGAGAGCCGGCTGTTCGGTTTGGCACCGAGCCAGCCAGGCAGCCAGGCAAGTGAGCACATGCTACGTGCTATCGCCCCACTTTACAAAACTGAAGCCGTGTCCTTACGCTGACCTCCCTCCCCTCCCAGCTCGCAGTCCCACCAGGCCAGCACCCTCTCCTCCCTCCGCCCACTGGATCCGAGAGACCCACGCGAAAAACTCGGGCCGGAAAAAACTCGCCAGGAAAGAGAACGCTCGGAAGGGAAACACAGGCTCCGGCTCGAGACGAAACCCTAACCCGAGCTCCGCTCGCCCCTCCGCCGTCCCTCCTCGCCGGAGGTCTTCCCCAGCGACGCAGCCTCCTCCGGGGGCTACGGCGGCGATGCGCCCCTCCCTGTTGGAGGCGTTATGAGCGGGGAAATGGCCCGCGCCGAGGCCTTGCCCCAGGGGGAGGCCCCCGGGTTCGGTGTCGACCTGTATGCGCAGGCCACCAAGGCTGTGTCCCTGCGGACGCCGTTCGAGGGCGATGAGGCGGCGCCCAGGGTTCCCACGCTGCCCGCGCGGCTTGTCAGCTGGGCAGGGCCGGGGGACGCCCGGAAGAAGCACAAGAAGATTCTGCCTCCCCCTCCGGACGATGCTGCTCCCGAGCCTCCACCACAGTCACCTGTAGCCACCCCTGCGAAGGTTGGCTTGTGGGACCAGTTTGAGGCTTATTTCCGTCCTGTAACATTGGCTGATGTCGAAATGTTAAGACCAAAGCTCCCATTCGGCTACAGCAAGGTCGATTCATGTATGCTAATACCATTTCTGGGCAGTGACAAGGAGTTAATAAACCAAGCTGAGACATATGACGTGGCTGTGGCTGAAACAACCTCGTATTTAGGTGTTGGTGGCGAAGAAGTGGTCACTAACCGGGAGCGCGGCGTGCAAAGTGTGCATCTGGCTAGTCAGAAAGAGAGGAATGATCAAAGCGTTGAACAGGACATACATGATGTGGTTGTGCAACAAATGGTCAGTGACAAAGAGCTTAATAGGCACAGAGGGGGACAGGGGATACAAGAAGTTTCTGTTCAGTTGGGAGGGAGATCATTTGGAGTGGATCAAGCTGGGAGCAGCAGTGGCATTGTGTTAGCACAATGTGTTGAGGAGGAAGGAATTTCACTTAATTGGCTGCTAGGAGCAACAGGCCGGTTTGTTCTCACTTCAGAGCGACCCAACAAGAAGAGAAAGCTTCTGGGTGCCGATGCTGGGTTAGAGCAGCTTGTTCTGCTC